CTAACTACATCTAGTTAATATGGGTATCTTGGCAAAAAGACATTTGACATTGAATTTTGACTGAGAGATAATAGAAGAGATATAGGATTGACCTCTTCCCTCTCACTCCCACCCCACTCTCTCCATCCCCAAAGGGTAATCTCCTCAACCAAACTTAATATTCAGTAAAGAAAAAATTAAAAATAAATACATGTAAAGCTCTTATGAGATTCATGGCAATTCAGAACTGCAAAGTACCTTATTTATAGTATCTTATCTTGCTAAGCCTCATATTAATATTATTAAAAGAATATTAGTATTAAAATTATTGATTTTTTTAAAGAAAGAATACCTCATACATCAATATATTAAAATATTCCACAAATATTTATTAAATGCCTATTATGTGCTAGGTACTATTCTATGCATTGCTGATACAGAAAGGAAATGAACAAAGTCCCTGCTCTCCTAGAGCTTATTTTTGGTAGGGGAGACATTATATAAACAGACAAGTAAATATAGACCACAATATCATCTAGTGGTAAGTATAATAAGGAGAAATGATGTAGAGTGAGGGATGAGCGTCTCAAGGGGGAGTGTGTTTACTTTATTTTACCTTTTAATTTAAATCAAGTTTTATTCTGATTGAAAAATCCAAGTAAGTAATACTGCTCCCCACCTCAAATTTTCTTTTCTTTTATTTATTCAAGTATATTTAACATTACTCAGGGCTCCTCATGATAAATGTATTCTTTTTTTTTTTTTTTACATTTTTTATTATGTTATGTTAATCACCATACATTAGTTTTTGATGTAGTGTTCCATGATTCATTGTTGGCGTATAACACCCAGTGCTCCATTCAGTACATGCCCTCTTTAATACCCATCACCAGGCTAACCCATCCCCCCACCCTCCTCCCCTCTAGAACCCTCAGTTGGTTTCTCAGAGTCCATAGTCTCTCATGGCTCGTCTCCCCTTCCGATTTCCCCCCCTTCATTTTTCCCTTCCTACTATCTTCTTTTTTTTTTTTTTTAACATATAATGTATTATTTGTTTCTCTTAATCCCCTTCACCTATTTTGACCATCCCTTCACCGATTTCCCTTTTAGCAAGTACTAGTTTGTTTTCTATATTTAAGAGCCTTTTTGGGGTTTGTGTCTTTTTTTTCTTTGTTCATTTATTTTGTTTCTTAACTTCCACATATGAGTGAAGTCATATGGTATTTGTTTTTCTCCAACTGACTTATTTCACTTAGCATTATACCCTCCAGATCCATCCATGTTGTTGCAAATGACAAGATTTTATTCTTTTTTCATTCTTTATTCATTCTCTTTTTATTCATGTGTATATATACATATATATGCATATCTTATGCATCTTATATATCTTATACGTGTGTGTGTATCTTTTTTATCCACATCTTCTTTATCCATTCACTCATGGATGGACACTTGTGATGCTTCCATATTTTGGCTATTGTAAATAATGCTGCAATAAACATAGGGGTGAATATATCTTTTTGAGTTAGTGTCTTCATTTTCTTGGATAAATATCCAGGAGTGGAATTACTAGATCATATGGCAATTCTATTTTTAATTTTTTGAAGAACCTCCATACTGGTTTCCACAGTGGCTGCACCAATTTACATTCTTACCAACAGTGCATGGGTATTCTTTTTTCTTTACGTCCTCTCCAATACTTGTTATTTCTTGTGTTTTTAGCCATTCTGACAAGTGTGAGGTGTTGTATGACTGTAGTAGTTGTTTTTTAAACTAGGCTCCACACCCAGTGTGGAGCCCAACACGGGGCTTAAACTTACAACCCTGAGATCAAGACCTGAGCTGAGATCAAGAGTTAGACGCTCAACCAGCTGAACCATCCAGTGGTTTGGATTTACATTTCCTTGATGATTAGTGATATTAGACGTCTTTCTAGGTGTCTGTTGTCTTCTTTGGACAAATGTCTATTAATACCCTCTGTCCATTTTTTAATTGAATTATTTGGGGTTTTTTTTGGTGTTGAGTTGTATAAATTCTTTATACATTTTGGATATTAACCCTCAAGGGAGAGCCTTTATATAGGGTAGTCACAGAAGCTCAGTTAAGGAGGTGACATTTGGACAGAGAATTTTTCATTTATTTGACAAATATTTATTGAATACCCACTATAAGCAGATCACAGTGCTTATAATGGGTTATTGTTATTATGTTATTGTTATTATGAGATTACAGAATAAGACAAGATCCTTGGTTTCTAAGAATTTATAATCTAGCAGAGGAGTGTGGCTACATATATTTATTAAATGTTATAATAAAATGAAAACAGTGTGATAGATGAGAAGAAGGAAATATTTCTTTCAATTCTAGTTATTAGGGAAGTCTACCAGAACAAGATGGACCTTAGAGAATGGGTGTATGGATAGATAGACGTGGGACTGTATGTAAAGGAAATCCAGAGAGGGATGGACGAGCACATCATGAGTGAAAATAAAGCAGCTAGAAATGTGAAGGGTGCTTAGGGAACAATAAAGGTATCATTGTGTTGAACAAGAAAGGGTACTTTGGACACGTAGCCTCTGAATACCTCTAGCAGTTCAAAACCAGCTCCTATAAGCAAGAAACTTATTTGAAGCCTTGGATTCTACCTTTTAAGTCCAGGTGAATTTTGCATTCTATTACATAAATTCATCTATCCTATTTTAAAATAAAAATATTGTCTCCAAACTCTTTAAATAAAATTAACACTTAGGAAAGTGAACCATATTTACCCTATGGCTTCCAGTTGCTCTGTCAAATATTTAGCTGGGAATTCATATTTTACTTTGAATATCAAGGGTAGAACAATAAAGAGAACTAATTTTAAAAAAGTAGATTGGACCCAAATAGTATTGGGTCTTGAATAATAGGCCCACACATTTAAAATGTGTCATGTAGAGAATGGAAAACTACAGATGTTTTTTATTTTATTTTATTTTATTTTTTTTAAGATTTTATTTATTTGACAGAGAGAGACAGCCGGAGAGGGAACACAAGCAGGGGGAGTGGGAGAGGGAGAAGCAGGCTTCCCGCAGAGCAGGGAGCCCGATGTGGGGCTCGATCCCAGGACCCTGGGATCGTGACCTGAGCCAAAGGCAGACGCTTAACGACTGAGCCACCCAGGTGCCCCTAATAAATGTTTTTTAATGAGGCATTAGCCTTATATTTGTCCAGGCTGTTTCCTCTGCCTAGAGTGCCTTCTTCCAAATCCTACTCATCTGCTATGGTCCATTCAAATATGACCCCTCATTCAGCCTTCTGTGATTTCTATAGCTGGGCTTCCTTGGCATTTGGTCAGTACTTCCTTGACTTTTACCACATTTCACTTTTTATTTCAGTCATTTTATGCTCAAGGCTCTATCCCCTGCAGCACCTGAATATGGACTTCCATGTGGAAACAAAAAAAATGCTTGTAAAATAAATATAGATGAAAAACCCCCAAATGGAATGATTACTCTAGTGGCAGGATAAAAAATGTACTAGAGATGGGTAGACTAAAGGCAATGCATTGGTTAAGAGGCTGTTATAATTATTCAACGATGAGGTAGTGAGCACTGAAGTAGGAAGCTGTCATTGGCTGTTTAAAATATAAAGGAAGGAATGAATACGGCAACATATAGCAGAGGAGGAATCTAAGTATTTGATGTGACCGAGGAAGAGAAACACACAGGAAGCTGGACTGCTGGTCTGGTAACCAAATTAGGGAATTGAGAACTGAGGCCTGGTGTGGACGGAAAATGAAAACTTCAGATTTTTTGATATGCTGCTGATGGGAACATTATATAGAATTGTCACCTGGCAAGTGGGAACTTCTCAACACTGGGGAAAGTTATGAATGTAGGTAAATTTAAGAACCATTTTCATACAAGCAAGATTGCAAATTGTAGTGGTAGATAGAATCCCTGAATGAGCCCACTTGAGTAGAGAGAAAGGAATAGAGGAATGACAGTAAGGAATGTCTATATTGAAAGAAGGGAAGAAAAAAGGGAAGAGAAAATAGAGAATAGGGAATGAAAGATCAGGGAGGCAGGAAAAGAAGCAGTATGTACTAGAAAGAAAAGAATTTTCAGGAGCAAAAAGCCACATCCTTCAGAGAGTGAGGAGTTACAGTGATGGAGCAATTTGGAGACCCTTGGGGTGGTGGGAATAGAAGCAAGATTTCGGGTCGGTGAAGTGAGGGTGAGGGTGAAGACACCAAGCCTGTGGTTACTAATGCTCATTTGAGATGTGTATGCCTCTAGCAGGAGAGAGAGGCTTAGTATAGTCTGGTGGCCAGAACTTAAATCATCAAGTAGAAACAAGGTGGTATTCTTGGTGCCCCACAATCATGCTCCTCCCTTCCTTACCAGGCCCCAGGCATTTCATTTCCTGCCCATCCTGGCCCTATCAAATTCACAGCAGTGCCCCAAGATACTGGTCTTTTTAAAACTATTATTTCTGCTCAAAATGTGTCTGTCCAGAGTCCTGTTCCTTTGGAGTGGCATTTTCCAAGTGTGTTTCACAAATGATAGCTCTTCGAGATGCTATCTGACCTGGGACTCTGAGGTCAGGTAAGTCTGGAAAATACCACAGGGAATGTTAACATGGGAACTGTTCTGGAATCTCTCATGAAAAGAAACCTTACTAAGTTTGTTTAAACTACCAAATATTATTTCTTCACAGACTCATCTCCTTTTTTACTTTTACTGTCAAAAACTCTTAGTGGTTCTATGGTTCCTGTACGGGGAAACTTTGCTTTGGAGTCTTGGTGATGGATAATTAATCTGATAAGTGCATACATGTTTGGTGTTGATGGCTGTGAAAGGATAATTAACTTTCTAGTATTAAATATTCACAATGTGCCAGGGAATTCAAAGAGGAAATAATAATAATAAAAAAAAAGTTTAGTGTGGGAGGTTCAGGATTATGGATGCCAAGTGGGTGCTGGTGACTCAAGATCTATATCAAGTTTGGATCCACAGCTAATTTGACTTCCTTTTTACTAGGGCTATTACGGTGTTTCGACTACAGAACTTCAATCACTTCTTCGTCCAGCCTGAAAAATGGAAAGGAGGAATACAGCACTGTGATGATATCTTGTGCGCTGCATTTTCACCTCCACAAACTCTTGTTACAGGTTAATTGAACCTTCGCTGGACAATCAGTGGTGAACGTTTGGTTTCTTTTGGCTCAGTCACTTTTAAAAAGCCTTTTCTGAGCAGCAGAATGAACAGATTTCTTGAAGAATCAGCCTTTGTACTGCGAGCTACTCTTGGTCTTTACTTCCCAGGGTAGCACGTTAGTGGTTAGGGCTGTCAGCCCTGGAGCAAGGCCACCTGGCTTCAGATCCTGGTGCCACCACTGTCCAGTGCATTATAGTGAACAAGTTATTGGAACTGTCCATCATGACTTTCTCTGGCTAATAAGAATATATCAATATCTTGGCTTATGGTGAAGATTGAGTAAGATAATCCATGTAAGGGCTTAATACAGTGCTTGCCACTCAGTAAGCTTATCAGTAAATGTTAGCTTTTATTTTTACTGTCTTTTTTTCCCAGAAAGAGCGTTAGGGATGATGGGAACAAATCATACTTCTGTGGCACTCAGATGTTTCATAATGGGAACATACTAACCCTTTGGCACAATTCAATCTAAGTAATTTTGGTTAAAGACTGGCCTCACCAAATGCCTACCAATTCACGCCCTTAAAGGATGCATGGGCATGCTTTGATGTGACATATGAAAGAGGATCAGAAATTGTTATATTATTTCTGGCCAAAGAAAACAATTTATAAAGATAGATTGCACCATGAAATTAGAGAGTCCATATTTTGACAACCAAAGTTTTTGTTTGTTTGTTTGTTTATAGAACTCAAAATGTCCTCAATTAAGAGGAATTAAAACTTACAGGAAAAGAGCCAGGGTATCCGTGAAGTGTTACAATAAGCGGTTTACAGCTCTGTGTACACTTCCACTTCCATTGTCTTCAGGAATTACCTGATTACTTTCCAGTAGGGCCAACTCTGCAGTTGAATTTGCTTTATAGCTGCTGAAAGTCCACCCTTGCAGGGAGTATCACATACTGAAATGTGCTGGAGACAAACTATAAGGCTGCATCTTTGTTACTGCAAAAGTGTCATCAGTTACCTTTGTAACTGGTAGATAGATGATTTCTTCATTGACTCTCCTCCCACCAGTCCTATGTGAAAATGTTTGATCAGGCACTTTATAACTTAAGCATTTCAAAATCACAGGGGCAGATGGCTACTCCCATGTACAGCTAATCCATGCAAATCCATCATTCTTGGCCAATTTTTGAGTTACACAGGTTGCTCTTTCCAGAACAATATGGAGTTTAGTATGGATTCCTCTCTTCTTTCTCAAAATCTCAAGAAAATTTCCGTGTATACATCCCACTCAAACTCAGTTCTTCCCTTCTGCTCTTCACTCGACACTGACACTCTGCTCAATGGGGAGCTCTCCTTACCTCGCTGGAGAGGGCATGCATTGCTCTGCTCCTCCCCAGGACAGGCTTGGTTAGACTGAGTCTCACTATTTGGGCTTTTCTGTATTCTCTGTGATGAGCAGTAGGGAAGGACTTTCTATAGGGAAAATTTTAGAATTGGAGAAAGCATTATACAATAAAGAATACAGGAGGGAGGGAACGAAAAGAACACACACACACACAAGACTAGACATGGGAAGCACAAACAAAGAAGGATTTGATTTGCTTGTCCTCAATAATAAAAAAAGTATAATTATAATGAACATTTTTTTCAGTTCTTACAATATGCTAGGCACCACGCTAAGTACTTTTCATTCTTCACAACAACGCTATGAAAGAAATACAATTTTAATCCAGTTTTATAGATGAGGAAACTCTGGCCTCAGGTAGTTAAATAACTTAACCACGTTTACACAGCCAGTAGGTGGCAGAGCTGGGAATCAAACTCAAGTTGTTCAGTCGCAAAGCCCTTATTCTGAATGCCTTATTACTATAAAAGAAAAATATATGACAGTTATTTCTATCACATTGAATACACAGGTACGCGATGAGGATTGTAAGTTCTAAAGCTTGATAAAAATACTAGTTATTATTATTCATGTTTCCAAAAATGCAGAGAGTACCTACTATGTGCCAGATTCCATGTAAGGTATTCACGAATAGTGACTCCTTCTCCCATTGCTGTTGCTCATGTTTTCCAACTTTCTGGCAATTTATCCTGGCTCATGTAGGGAGTTACGATGGAGAAATCGTTCTGTGGAATAACAGCACAGAAAAGGCTCACTACGTCCTCCACCCTGATTATCAGAGGCTGCTAAAATCAAAATCAGGTGAGTGCAAGTTTGAAACTAAAATAATGTGGCTGAGTCAAGCCACAGTAGGCTTTGTTGTTTATTCATGTACCCGATGCAGCTTGCCCCTAAATTATAGATGATTGGCTATAAGCGCCAGGGATTAGTGAGACCGTTGTCTTATCAAAGTGACTAAAGAGAACCCTGAGATTTACTTGGCTTAGCAAATTCTCCATGGCATGCTGTTGCTTGTCTTTATGCCACATCAGCTTTTCTGAATTACTAACAACAGGGAGCAGGCCTATCATTTCCATCTAGTTTAGTTTTTGCCAATAAACCTCACCAAATTGCCTTTGAATGAACCTTGGTACCCCTTGGTAGGAAGATAGGAGCTCGTGGTCACTTGATAGGCTGCTCAGGCTCAGTCTAGAGCTTGTATTAAATATTACGCCACCTGGAAATCTTAAATTATTTCTTGCTTTAGAAACCTGTGAGGAGCATGAGATAGGAGTATATTGTATTTTATGGGGGTTTAGCCGAGCACATGAGTATTTTATACTTAAGCAAAATGTCTTGACAATTGCCTTTCACATTTTATTTCAGTTTCCTTAGATATTGAAGATTTTTCCTTAGGATTATTTATTTAGGTAATGAATATCATTCTTCACGGCCCAGTGAGGTTCTGTTGTTTCAATTGGATAAACTCACAGAGCTGAATTGGACCGTAGCAAAGGACAGGTCATCCGACACAGCTTTTTTTTTGTGTGCAAGTTAAAGGAGTAATTTGTTAAGAGTAAGCCCTTAGAGATTTAGGGCTTACTTGTCTGCAGGCACAAAGGTCTGGCCTGCTGTATGTATGAAGAGTTGGCCATTAGGGTTCATTTGAACCCTCCGTGGAGAGGGTGGGATTCTGCCTCTTCCTTTATATTGGCCTGCAGGAGAGTGACATCTTGCTCTTACAGCAAGCCCAACTGTGGCTATGATTAAAACCACAGAGAGGTAGAAAAGCGGATAATAGCAAACTTCTGAAAGATAGGAGAGGCATTGCTAGAGATGTCTTGCTTTGAGATTTTGAAGGTCCCACCCAGTGTAGATTTTTCATAACTATGTGCAGACTATTCATAGATTCTGAGTATTCCCAGTTCTTCTTAGTGTGGTCGGGGGATGATGTCACAAGATAACTGAAGTGCCCCTAGGAGTGTCCTCTCCCGAGTAACTCGCTAGCAAATAATATTGCTGCTAAAAATGATCATTTAAATATATTTAAATAGCCATTATAGCTCATGTTCCTTATATTATTTGCAAGATTAATATGAATGATTAATAACCTGAAAATGTCATGGTATTAGAATCACATTTGTCTTGAACATAGCAGGATTTCTAAGACATTAACACTGACAACAAAATGAAGTCCCTACTAATTCATATCAAGGTAAAACATAGTGTGTATGTAATATGCAAAGCAAAAATGGAATCAAACAATCCGTCAAGTTGGCGTTGAAGCAGTGAATAGCAGAAGGTCCGATGATGTTGACTGGAAGCCTGATGTCAGACTTGATGGAGTCACCAGAGACGGTGATGGAGGCGGGCCTGTTGTTTTTCATAAGCACTCAGTTGAAAAGCAGATGTTTCTCCTCGTTAAGACGCCTAGCTTTGTGTCCATCACAGATACAGAGCCTCAAAAGCTTCCGAGTGCTGGGAGGAGCCGCTCCCCCCACCCCGGCCCAAACCAGGCTGCCCTGGGAGCCCACTCCTTGGAGACCCACACGGAGGGCAATGATGCTGTTGTGGGGCTCTGCTTCCTTGAGGCAAGAAAAACCACCGCAGAGACAGGTACACTATACATTTCCATTTTGACTGTAGATCGATATATTTGTAAAACGTTGGGAAAGGAGCAAGGAAGACAGTTTAATCTGTTCCTTTGTAGGTCTTGTACAGCTTGACTTGGTGTAACTAACAGTCAGTGCTGGGTCACGGGAGGCCACGGGCCACACACAGCAAGCGAGGTCAGGGATCAGGCGGGAGGTCCAGGAGCAGGTGCCAGACTCGACCCCAGCAGCGACTCACACAGTGCCGCATAGGTCAGGATCCGAGTGGAAAAAACTCTGGCAAACTATTTGCTGTGGGTGATGATCAGAATTGGTGCACCAGCTGTGGTATAAAGAGGTTCGGTAGGGTAGGGGGCACAGCAAGAAAGAGGCGCCAAATATATGCGCCAAGGCTTAGGACTACATGCGCCAGAAGGGTGGAGTCTGACTGTGCACCGAGTCTCAAATGGGCTGGGAGAAAATAGTGAGAAACTTAGAGATTGGGCCAATAGCAAAATTTAAAATAACTACTGATTACAGATCAAGAGAGCTGCTTGCTTTTTTCTTAATTTCATTTCCCTCCCTCTTTCTTTCTTGCTTGCTTTCTTGCTTTCTTTCCCTTCCTTTCTTCCCTCTCCCTTTTTCTTTCTTTCTTTCTTTCTTTCTTTCTTTCTTTCTTTCTTTCTTTCTTTCTTTCTTTCTGTTTTTCTTTCTCTCTTTCTTTCCTTTCTTTCTCTCTCTCTCTCTTTCTTTCTTCCCTCTCCCTCCCTCCCTTTCTTTCTTTCTGTTTCTTTTTCTTTCTTTCTTTCTTTCTTTCTTTCTTTCTTTCTTTCTTTCTTTCTTTCTTTCTTTCTTTCCTTTCTTTTTCTTTCTTCCCTCTCCCTCCCTCCCTCCTTCCCTTTCTTTCTTTCTTTCTTTCTTTCTTTCTTTCTTTCTTTCTGTTTCTTTCTGTTTCTTTCTTTCTTTCTTTCTTTCTTTCTTTCTTTCTTTCTTTCTTTCTTTCTTTCTTTCTTTCTTTCTCTCTCTCTCTTCCCTTCCCTTTCTTTCTCTTTCTTTCTCTTCTTTCTTTCTTTCTTTCTTTCTTTCTTTCTTTCTTTCTTTCTTTCTTTCTTTCTTTCTTTCTTTCTTCCCTCTCCCTCCCTCCTTCCCTTTCTTTCTTTCTGTTTCTTTCTTTCTTTCTTTCTTTCTTTCTTTCTTTCTTTCTTTCTTTCTTTCTTTCTGTTTTTCTTTCTCTCTTTCTTTCCTTTCTTTCTCTCTCTCTCTCTTTCTTTCTTCCCTCTCCCTCCCTCCCTTTCTTTCTTTCTGTTTCTTTTTCTTTCTTTCTTTCTTTCTTTCTTTCTTTCTTTCTTTCTTTCTTTCTTTCTTTCCTCTCTTTTTCTTTCTTCCCTCTCCCTCCCTCCCTCCTTCCCTTTCTTTCTTTCTTTTTCTTTCTTTCTTTCTTTCTTTCTTTCTTTCTTTCTTTCTTTCTTTCTTTCTGTTTCTTTCTCTTTCTTTCTTTCTTTCTTTCTTTCTTTCTTTCTTTCTTTCTTTCTCTCTCTTCCCTTCCCTTTCTTTCTCTTTCTTTCTCTTCTTTCTTTCTTTCTTTCTTTCTTTCTTCCCTCTCCCTCCCTCCTTCCCTTTCTTTCTTTCTGTTTCTTTCTTTCTTTCTTTCTTTCTTTCTGTTTCTTTCTTTCTTTCTTTCTTTCTTTCTTTCTTTCTTTCTTTCTTTCTTTCTTTCTTTCTTTCTTTCTTCCCTCTCCCTCCCTCCTTCCCTTTCTTTCTTTCTGTTTCTTTCTTTCTTTCTTTCTTTCTTTCTTTCTTTCTTTCTTTCTTTCTTTCTTTCTCTTTCTTTCTTTCTTTCTTTCTTTCTTTCTTTCTTTCTTTCTTTCTTTCCTTCCTTCCTTCCTTCCTTCCTTCCTTCCTTCCTTCCTTCCTTTCCTTCCTTCCTTCCTTCCTTCCTTCCTTCCTTCCTTCCTTCCTTCCTTTCTTTTCTTCCTTCTTTCCTTCCTTCCTTCCTTCCTTCCTTCCTTCCTTCCTTCCTTCCTTCCTTTCTTTCTTTCTTTCTTTCTTTCTTTCTTTCTTTCTTTTCTTCTTTCATGGTTTGAGTATTATTACCAGTTATGCATCCTTTCCAGAATATGTCAGAGTCCTGGTGACAGCCTCTGCTGAGATGTATGCAAAGACTGGTGGCACCAGAGCACTTCTGTAGCCATTTGATATGTAGATGAAATAACCATTAGCTTAATTTCTGCCTTGTTTTCAATGGCTATGTTAGCATGGTGTTGACATTTCCTGCATCTTCCCCAAGTAAAAACCTGCTTTTGAGAATAATGCATATTGTTTTACCTTTCATCTAAAAACTTGTGTTTTAAAAGTATTTTTTCTTAGTATGAGCAATCTAGACATATAGGTGTTATATGTGTGAAAAAAAAATAAACATATCCGAACCACGTTTTTCATATTTGCTTTCCCACATTCAGTTTGCAGATAGAAGATCTGCATGATTTTTATATAAAAATTTTCCACATTAAAAATCAATAAAGGTATACCCTTATAGAGTTTTAGAAACCTTGTGGAGCATTTAGAATAGACTTTGAAACGGTTAGATTCTAAAATTTTCTATTTTCCAGAACTCCCTTCTATTCACAGAATGAACTATTATCCTGAAATTTCTCCTATTTCCTCAACACTAATTCTTCTTAATGTTATCAGTATTCCCAAATTGTTTCCACCGAAGCGACTACAAGCCATTATTTCTACCTTAAACAGATATGATTGTTAATCAGCAGTACATTTGTGAAGCAAATTGAAAGTCATCTACAGATTTATCAAGTAATAATAGGAACTTGGCCACAGAAGAATAATTCAGGTAGAATGCTTCTACAAAGCATATAAAAATAGAAAATGAAAAGGAGTGTTCTAGGCCTATGAACCAAAAAAGTGTTCCATAAGGGCTCCCAATGAATTCTTGATGAAAAACTAAAAACAAGCTCATAAATAGAATCCTAAGCATGATGCTACCTGCTACATAGAGAAATTAATAGCTATGCTGCTATAACTGCCTATAGGCACCCAGTTGCATGCAGGAGGAATTTTACTTCTTTGGTATATGTGTCCAATGGGTTATTAAGAAAGATGGGTTTATGTAATTAGAATATCATAATATTGAAATTAATACTTCATAAGTTTATTTGGAGGAACAAATTAATTCTATCTAACTTTAAAAACCCAATTATATTGAAATAATGAAGGCAAGGGAATTCAATGTAATGGAGCATCTTGCATTTCCAATCTCATTTAATACTCAATACAAACTGGTAAGGTTATCATAACATTATCTCCATTTTATGTTGGAGAGAGTCAAAGTGCTGGAAATTGATATCAGGGCTACCTGCCTCTCCGATATTCATATGCCTTCCACATGGCAAGCCACCGAAGACGTTTTTTTCAGCTCCTTGTTGTCACGTTTTCCTAATTAAGTGTTGTCTTACACATTAGGAGGAGCTAACCTGGTGTCATGTGGAGGATCTGGGTATGTCAGATTTTGGGATACATTTAAGAAGCAACTTCTGGCTGAGTTTTTGGCTCATGGTGGAGTTGGATCCATTATTATGTCTACTGATAAGTCAAACCAATACCTCACCACAGGAGATCTGGATGGACAACTGAAAATCTGGGATATAAAAGTAAATTGAAAGTATTCTCATATCTTTACTAATTTTGATTGCCTTGTGTTACAGATAACTATGAATCTGCTCTTATCTATCTCCTGGATAAGGGAAGACATGATCAGTCTGAGTATTGTAAAGGAAATATTTACATATATTGGACAGAGACATCTCTTAAATAATTTATGGGGAAAACCAGATTGTTCTCAGTATGAAAATCTTCTCAAGTCAAGGGCGCCTGGGTGGCTTAGTCAGTCAAGCAGCCAACTCTTGGTTCAGCTCATGTCATGATCTCATGGGTTGTGAGATCCAGCCCCACATCATCAGGCTCTGCACTCAGTGGGGAGTCTGCTTGAGATTTTCTCTCTCCCTCTGACCTTCTCTCTATGTGCACTCGTGCTCGCTCTCCCTCTCAAATCAATAAATTATATATATATATATATATATATATATATACATACATACGTATGTATACATACGTACGTATGTATATACATATATGTATATGTGTATATATGTGTATGTAGTCAAGTCAGTCACCCAATTTAGGAATACAGTATTGTCAGTAAGGTTCTGCAGCATTGTTTGAGCATAAATAATTAGGATATACCTTATCTGAAATGAGACTGTAAACCCAATTTTAACCAGAGTACTGGCCCTTCCTCCAACATTACTATCATCCTGAATTAGTTTGGGATTTTTGTGACAGTGATTACCTCCTCGTTTATCTAATAATATTATAAAATTGTATAATATGCAACTATCTACACGTGATAAAGTTCATCTCTTTCAAATACTGACTTTACTGTTCACTCTTTCTGTTTTTTATTCTTCCCCTCCCCTCTTCCTTTTGTTCCACTTCTTGGGTTAGGCAAATCAGTTAGAAACCTTTTTTTGACATTAATATGATTTTTCTAAACTCTGTTATCATGAACTATTCTTTTGCATTTGGAGAATGGAGTATTGTTCCCAAATGTACCTTTTTTCATTTCCGTATCAGACATTTTAAGAAAAAGTGTTATGTCACCATAATTTAATTTAATATTTGGACTTTTTAGAATTCTAGCATTTCTTTTCATTCAGGAGTACTGTCTTAATTCCAGTAAGAGCAAAATCACACAGGCCCCAGCTCTGATACGATCATTCCGACCTCATGAAGACCAGATAAGTTCCTTAGAGATGTGTAAGCCAGGTGGCCGCTTACTGATTATCTCCTCATCGGCAGACTGCAGCATTTGTGTGACTGATGTCTGTGGTGCTCCTGTCTGGATCTTTGGTCAGGTAGAAATATTGCTTCTTCATTATTCTAGTATTTGACATTTAGTATGAACTTGGGCTGATTTCTGTTTGAATCTCGTCGGCTGTTAATGTTCATCAGTCATGAAAGAACTGACTTCCATTTCTGGAGCTGTAGCTCTAGGCGTCTCTTGTCCTGTTTACCATTAACCATGACAGTTCCATCAAGTGGAAGACTCTAGAGACATGGAAAGATGGCGGCTCTGTGCATCTCAAAATGTTTCAGGATTTCTGAGAAAATTTTCTCCTTTAAAACTCCTTCAATTTCAATGTCTAGTAAAAACACAGTGTGGATAAAATTACCATGTTATTCTTAAAAAATTGAGGACAATGACTTTCAAGTAATCAAATATAAAAAAATTAGAAAAGAAAACAAAAAAACAAAACCTCCCTGTTCATTGTCTGATTTACTCCTGCCCAAATAACAATAGCTAACATTTGCTGAGTTTTTCCTGTATGGCTAGGGCCCTGTTCTACAGTCTCCACATGAATTATCTCATATAATCACAATTCCTCATCCCATGAGGAAGGAGCTCTTCATTATTCCCATTTTACAAATGGGAAAACAGAGGCACAGAAAGTTGAATCAATCTCCTGAGCTCCCAGAGGCTAATAAGTAGTAGAGTTTGGCTTTTAACTCAAGCTGGCTCATTTCAGAGCTCATGCTTTTAACCCTTCCTCTCACGAAATTAAGTTCCCATTTATACCTGTCTATTAAGAGAAATGGAAGTAGGGAGCATGATGGGACCTCTGTTCTTGCTCCCTTTGTGATTTGAGGGACAAAATACCAGTTTGATCAGTTTCAGCCACTACTGTGGAAGCATGGTGGCATGAGGTCAGGCTGGTGGCAAGAGGTCGGGCTGAAACCTCAATTTCGGTCTGGCTGGTTGACTTGGTTCTATTCGGCAGACTCTGTTGCCACTCATGCCATGATAACACAGCAACCGTCTTTGTGTTGGAAGACAAAGTCTGTTGTTGCTCTATTTTTGAATTGTTTTGTTGATGTCTGCCTGTCCTGAAAGACTTTTATACAACCCTATGGACACAAAGGGCAATGATAAATCAGAAAATAATCTGGGGTGGTGGGCCCGTGTTTGGCCCGGTAGTATGGGAGTCTCAAGGTAGCGCTCAAGGGCTGTACAGTCTTCTGCTCTGTAAATAAGGCAAGTGTTCGACTTTTCTCAGTTGGGAACAAGAGCCTCTGAGTGGTAAGTCGCATGGGTGTGTGTGTGTGTGGGTAAGTGTGTGGAGAATGAGGCGGAGGGCCACAGCTGGTGTTCTGAGCACAAGCTGAGCTGGAAAGATGCTTCTGTAAGTGAAGGAGTTAATGTAATGCTGAATTGCTGTATGGTCATGCCTCATGGGCTTTGGGGAGTTGAAGTGGAGGTTAGAATGACAGGTAAAGAAACAGAGCATCATCAAGTGGGTGACATCTGGACGCTGAGTTCCTTAGAGGCGGCTAAAGCAAGAAATAGCACCATTCTAGGTGTGGGTGCCATATTGTGCCCACCACACAGTAGCTGCAGCTAAATTTTAATTAAGAAGCATGTGCTAGTAAAACTGTTCATTTTTATGCCTTTGATATTTGTCCCTAGCTATTTTGTAAAGTCTTTGTATTTTGAAAGATTTTAGCCTCAAAAAGCCTGTGTGAAAATAGTTTGGTTTTTCCCCTTATGTTCCAGACAGGAAAAAGGGCCCCCAGAGCTGGGGAAGTCTTAGAAAGTAAAGGCTGGGCAACTGGGGACAGCTGGGTTTTCTAATTTTTTCTGCTTGAGGTTTTTTTTTTTTTCCCCTAAAGGACTCACTTTGATCAAGCTGTCTTGAATATAGGTGCTGGTGGTCCCAGGGGGTGGGGCTGGGTTGAGGGGAAGAGAAAGGAGGGAGAAGGGAAGAGAATAAATTAGTAGATACTGGAAAATAGCAGCAGTGAATGTCCTTCTCATGGTGTGTAAGAAGAGACACTCATTTAGAGAAAGAACAGAAGGATATGGAAGGCAGATGGCAATACATAGATAAGAAGGAGAAGAGACCCAATTAGTAAACATAATTTGGATCAGAACAGTTTTTGCTGAACAAACTTGATATGTACAATGTCGTGACTTTTGCCTTACATTTGAATGTTGTATTTGTTCTTTAGTTGAATTAATTCTCATCTGGCAGTTATAAAAACAGGAGGAAAAGCAATAATATATTTTAATTTCCTACATTAAGACTTAATTTTCTAATCACATGCAGTCTGATGAAAGTATTTAAAATACTGTAGTGCCATGTGATTCAATATATTTCGGAAGGAAGTTATTTTTTAAATAAGTATAAATAATTTTTATAACATAGCTATGGATCTGAGGTTGGTTTCCAAGTTAGATTTTTTAAAAGTTAGAGTGTGGTATGTCTATTTCTGGAGTTGGAAAAATGGGGGTGGAGATGATTTATCCACGGAGATAGCCTTGTCCCAGGAAACTATCAGATGATTGTGTTATCGAAAGAAATTAGTGATGCATGCACATGTTCAGTGCTCCTCTTCACACACTAACCACTGTCGCATTGGGCAGAATGGACACTGGCACTTCTCCTCCTGGTCCTGTGGGGGCCCGTGTTGTGGGTTGTGCTTATTCACCCAGTGTTTAAAATTTGACTTAGTTGCCCATATTTAAACATTAATGATTTCACATAAGATCCAGATTACCTGCTTCTCTTGAAAAAGAACACGTCAGTCCCTGAGAGTAACTGTAAAATGGGTTCTTTCTAATTCACCACAGTCCCCACCTTTCCCTATTGCCAGTGAACGCTGGAGCTGAACTTCATTTGCTATTTATTACCTTATAGGAGGCTTGATTCATTCACTGACTCAATCTTCCCAGCTCCTGTAGGCATTTTCCTCTGTAGTCCCTTCTGACAAGATTAGCAGTTCGTAGGTCAGTCAGGTATCCTAGGGATGCCTAACTCCCTCATATCATACAGGCTGTATTCCCTCCTCCATTCCTGTGTATATGATGGGAATTGACATAAGACAAAGACATTGGCTCTGTATTTCAAATATAAAATAAAATGTCAATGAGAATTTCTACTAGATATTAAGAATTGTAGCCAAGTTTTGTGAAAACTATTATGTAACACACATATTTTCAGTGAAAAATGCTCAATGATTTGATTGTTTTTTAAGACTTTCCTAGGAAGTTATATGCAAAGAAAGGAGTTGTGTGAAAAATTAACTGCTAATTTTTCAGCAAAAGCTTTGTTTTTAGTAAATACATATCTTACTATTCCAGATTTTAAAGTGGGAATATTAATTTTTTTGTAGTTTATTATCTTTTCAGAGAATCTATGTTTCTTATGACATTTACTACTTTCTAACCTTTATTAAAGTTACATATATATGTCTCGTCTCCCTCAGAAAACTGTAAGGTCTTTGAAGAACCATGTTTCATTTATTTCTGTGTGTGCCCAGGACTTCAGTTAGTAGTGTAGCACATAAATGTTCAAAGAAAATAAATGTCATAAAAATAAAATAAGTCTCTCTTTTCAGGCAAAGCATTGGCAAAATGAAAACTGTTCTTCCCTTCCTAAAAGAGATACTAACTTAATGAAAAGTGAGATTCAAGAAGAAAGCATAAGGGAAATTCCTTTACTTTCTAAGAAGGAATCATGGTTAGACCTACCAGAACATTCTCTACTTGATAAGAAAAACAAAGATGATACCACATTCAAGTAAGTAATTTTAAGTGTTACCTGGATGCCAACTGGAGTCAAGATAAGACCTAACAAGATTGGCCCAAACTTCCTCATGTGCTCCGTGGAACACGCAGGGACTATTTCAAGGGTGTGTGTGGTGGAGGGAGAATTTATATTCTCAGGGTTATTGTACCTAGTTTAATTTCTTGCCTCCATTGAATTCTTGATTTCTATTCAGGATCTTCTAGTCTTCTGTTTCTGCTCCATCATCAACCTAATTGTGCAAGTTATCCCCTTTCCTCAAAAACAGTATACTCTATGTGTATATGTATGTATGTATGTATGTATGTATGTATCTCAAAATGTATGTCAGATTTACTCCTGGTTTTGGTAAGGTGCACAGGGGTTTATATGACAAAAGTTCAAAGAGCTTAAGTTTGAATATTAGACATGACTCTCCTTTGAACTCTTCTCACCTTTTCTTTATTGTAAATGAAGCCCTTTCTTCTCTTTACCCCACTCTGCCAGATCTCATTCTTCTATTGCTCTTACTCTCTAATAACAGGCAGTTTTAGTTATTTCTTTTCGTTAACACATGCTCTCATAATTTTTAAAAAGATCTTATTTATTTATTTATTTGAGAGAGAGAGAGAGAGAGAGTGCAAGTGGGGGGTGGAGTATAGGGGAGGGACAAGCCGACTCTGCACTGAGCACAGAGCCCCACCTGGCTCAGTCCCAGGACCCTGAGATCATGAACCAGGCTGAAATCAAGAGTCCTACATTTACCTGATTGAGCTACCCAGGCACCCCTCTCATAATTTCATCTTTCATATTCAACAAATATTTTTTTAAGAGGATGATTTTATTCATTGTATTTTCTTCTATACAAATGAAAAAATTTTACCATGTGCATAATGTTACTTTTGGGGGTTTATAGAAAAATTGCACAGGAAGAACACAGAAAGTACATACCCTATTCCCATCCCATACAGTGTCTCACATTAGTATGGTGTATCTGTTACAGTTTATGCACCAATATTGATACTTTATTATTAGCTAAAGTGCATGGTTTACATTAAGGAGGTTTGGTGGAAGGTCCTTTGATGACTACACTCAGGGACCTCTGAGTTGCCCGTTTCCAAATTAAGGCACACTTTGGCCAATCTCTTGTGGCTCAACTCTGCTAACTGGGATTACCTTTGGTGATACACATCCAGTGTTTTTCTGTTACAGTCCCTCACAATGGCAGGCCTCCCCTCTTGAGTCCACTTCGGCTTGGCCCATAGGAAGCTCACACATTCTTACCACACCAACTGTTGCCTAGTTGCCCCTTCTTTCCCTACCACATGGTAGCTCCAGTCACAGCTTTTTGCCTGTCGACTTTTGTAGTTATTGATGACTCATGGATCCATCCTGTCCCTCTAATGGTTACCCCATTCTGTCCCTCTAATGGGGCCATAAACTAAACTCTGATTGTTCATGTGAGCGGAAGCTAGAACTGAAGGGGAAGCTTCCTTCCTCTCCCAGGGCAGTGGGACTCAGTGCATACTTGCAACTCTCTCCTCTCTACCCCATCTTTGGTCTATTTATATCCTAGAGTGCTGGTCGACCTTGGTGTCAGCAGTTTGGTTGTAGAGCTATCTCCTTGTCCTTCACATGGAATCTAGCACCTTACTCAGAATTTTCAGAATACATTTTGCCTCTTAATTAATGAATTATTTTGCTTTCAGACTTTTTGACCTCTGCTGACAGGGAGATAGAAGGAAAAAAAATGCCCCTTTAAGCATCCTGTTACACTAAATTACACTTTGGTATTTGTTCTTCCATTTCCTTGAATTATAGCTTGCTGAAATGTCAAGTGGCATTTTACTTTCAGACAGAAGGATCTTTTCAATTTAGAAATATAGCATGACCAATCCTGTACAATAATAGAATGCTGGGAATGGAAAGATTTTAGACATGATAAAAGGCTCCCACCCAGCCACCCAACTCAATTTTACAGATGAGGAACTACAGTTACCCCAGGGTAACAAAGAGAGAGCATTGTTTCTCTTCCTGTCACACTCCTAGCAGAGTGAAGGCAAGTATCATCACACATTCTTGTTTAAGAGTATTTCAGCTTATATACTAATTTCCTGTTCCTTAATGACACACTCAATTATTCTTTTTTTTAAATCAGTTTTTCCTGTGAAATTTCCAGCAGTAAGAAGCAAAGTTTCCTCTATTACACTGCAGCTTTTCAAACAATACATCAAAAAATGCCTGTGATCTTTAAAATTTCTGCTTTATCTAATTCAGATGACTGGATTGAAATAATTTAGGACTTTATGGTAAGCAGACAGTACAGAATAATGTCACTTTGGAATAATTGAACTAACTGAAAGAAAAAGGCGAAAAATGTATCCTCAGAATTGGCTTGGCAGGTACATCCTTCACTTTTCTCAGGAACACGACCAGGGATCCTCTGTGGAAAACATACCAGTGCAATGTAATTGTTAGCTGAAAAATGTCCTCTGTGGCCTCCATCCAATACTGAGGAGACTACTGATGATTTTCTCCTCAAGAGAATATTATTCTCTATTCCTAATCAGATTAGTAAATACAAGGAGGGAATCATGGCAGTTCTGGTCCATTTGCAAAAGTATTTTTAAAAATACGTGAAAGAATTTAAGGGAACTAAAGAGAGAAAAGCACAGCTGGTGAGTCTGTGTGCAGGTGGGGGTATGTTCAGAGGGAGGCAAAACAGTAAGGAAGATGGAGATGCAAAAAGGAAGTGGAAGATGCAGGAAAAATAAAGGGAAAAATCAGATGCTTTAAAGCTACATTCTCATCTTAACTCCTAAGATCCTCTCTCCAGGATAAAAATCTTGGCATGTATTATCTTCTGGCTTATACATAAATAACAGGTTTCCATAGTGCTTAAGGTATTGTATAATATTATGTGTGAGAAGTGGGTAGGTGGAAAAATGTCATTTTCAATTTAAGTCCTGGGGAGATGAAGACGAATACAGAATTTAAGAGGGTAATAGAAAGTCCTAATGCTAAGTTAACAATTGATACAGAGAAATGGACTTTTTCCTTCCTTAGATTCAGCAAAAGTGAAAAAAAAAGTGAGAAATAAATGAAAGCGTAAAATAGGTAGGTAAAATAGGTAAAAATAGGTAAAAAAAACCAGTGGACATGAATTTTTCTTCATTTATAGCGATTTTTTTTTTTAAGATTTTATTTATTTATTCATGAGAGACAGAGAGAGAGAGGCAGAGGGAGAAGCAGGCTCCCAAGGAGCAGAGGGCCCGATGCGGGACTCGATCCCAGGACCCTGGGATCATGACCTGAGCTGAAGGCAGTCGCTTAACCAACTGAGCCACCCAGGTGCCCATTTATAGCGATGTTTGATTTCTGGAGTCACACGAAATTATTCTTATCTAGAAAAGTTATAGATAAGATTTTATAGACAATAAAACTTTAGAGTATTTTTTTAACATATAATGTATTATTTGTTTCAGAGGTACAGGTCTGTGATTCAACAGTCTTACACAATTCACAGTGCTCACCATAGCACATACCCTCCCCAATGTCTATCACCCAGCCAACCTATCCCTCCCACCCCCCACCACTCCAGCAACACTCAGTTTGATTCCTGAGATTAAGAATTCCTCATATCAGTGAGGTCATATGATACATCTCTTTCTCTGACTGACTTATTTCGCTCAGCGTAATACCCTCCAGTTCCATCCACATTGTTGCAAATGGCAAGATTTCATTCCTTTTGGTGAGTGCATAATATTCCATTGTGTGGAATAACACACCACATCTTCTTCATCCATTCATCTGTTGATGGACATCTTGGCTCTTTCCATAGTTTGGCTAATGTGGACATTGCTGCTATAAACATCAGGGTGCATGTACCCCTTCGGATCCCTACCTTTGTATCTTTGGGGTAAATACCCAGTAGTGCAATTGCTGGGTTGTATGGTAGCTCTATTTTCAACTTTTTGAGGAACCTCCATACTGTTTTCCAGAGTGGTTGCACCAGCTTGCATTCCCATCAACAGTGTAGGAGGGTTCCCCTTTCTCCGCATCCCCACCAACATCTGCTGTTTCCTGACTTGTTAATTTTAGCCATTCTGACTGGTGTGAGGTGGTAGCTCATTGAGGTTTTGATTTGGATTTCCCTGATGCCGAGCGATATTGAGCACTTTTTCATGTGTCTGTTGGCCATTTGGATGTCTTCTTTGGAAAAATGTCTGTTTTCCGCCCATCTCTTGATTGGATTATTTGTTCTTTAGGTGTTGAGTTTGATAAGTTCTTTATAGATTTGGGATACTAGCCCTTTATCTGATATGTCATTTGCAAATATCTTCTCGCATTCTGTCGGTTGTCTTTTGGTTTTGTTGACTCTTTCTTTTGCTGTGCAAAAGCTATTTATCTGATGAAGTCCCAATAGTTCATTTTTGCCCTTGCTTCCCTTGCCTTTGGCGATGTTTCTAGGAAGAAGTTGCTGCGGCTGAGGTTGAAGAGGTTGCTGCCTGTGCTCTCCTTTAGGATTTTGATGGACTCCTGTCTCACATTGAGGTCTTTCAACCATTTTGAGTCTATTTTTGTGTGTGGTGTAGGGAAATGGTCCAGTTTCATTCTTCTGCATATGGCTGCCCAATTTTCCCAACACATTTGTTGAAGAGACTTTTTTCTATTGGACATTCTTTCCTGCTTTGTCGAAGATTAGTTGACCATAGTGTTGAGGGTCCATTTCTGGGCTCTCTCTTCTGTTCCATTGATCTGTGTGTCTGTTTTTGTGCCAGTACCATACTGTCTTGATGATGACAGCTTTGTAATAGAACTTGAAGTCCGGAATTGTGATGCCACCAGCTTTGCTCTTCTTTTTCAACATTCTTCTGGCTATTCGGGGTCTTTTCTTGTTCCATACAAATTTTAGGATTATTTGCTCCATTTCTTTGAAAAAAAGTTGATGATATTTTGATAGGGATTGCATTGAATGTGTAGATTGCTCTAGGTAGCATTGACATCTTCACAAT